CATTAAATCTTGAACATCTAAATCGGCAGTCAACTTCTGGGAGATACCCTTCAATCCATAAACTATGACTCTCTTGCCGAAATACCAGCTTCCTTCGTGCACCGTGGTCAAAATGTGTACTATAACAGACAGACATCATCTCGTCTTATGAAATGCCTACTCCATGTTTTAAAAGGCAAACTTATACTTCAGTCTCCTGAGTTTTAATTCATCAATTAATCCCTAAGATCCCAGACAGTGTGTTCACCTCTGGTGATATGTTTACCTGGGCCGGGTGGGAACCAGACCTGACCTTCTGCTGCTCCCCTTAGGTAGTCCCTCCGCGCGCCGGCTCTTACCTCGTGGTCTTCACTCGCCTTGGGTTCTGGGTGTACAGCGAACCCAAAAAGGACCTGCTCGTAGCAACCGGCTACCAGCTCCATTCAGCAGCGCACGTGCCTCTTCCGCGAGCCCGGCCAAACGCAGAAAAATGACGAAAGCGGATGCAAGAGGAAGGTTGGGGGGGGGGCCTTCCTACGCCGGCGCTCAAATTTACGTCAAGACCGCAGGGCTGCCTCTTAGGCGCCTGCATCTGTGGAAAGGGTGTCAGCGCTCGCAGATCACGCGGAACTTCCATGAAGAGAATAAGGAAGAACCCCACATGAGAAGGTTCTCATTGCAAGGAAGAAAAGAATGGGGGTCTCGCAGGCATATTCTAGGAAGCTGTGAGCTCGGAGCTTCTGAGGGGCGGGACATCCTCTGCGGAAGACCCCGTTTCCGTGACGTCCAAAGAAGGGGCGGGCCTGGTTCCGGCCTGGGCGGGAGTCGGTGAGGCTGACCGTGGCGTTGCTGTGCAAGGAGAAAGTGGTACCGCCCATCTGTTGTGAGCTCTGATGCTGGGGACACGAGTTAGGTTTCCTTTTTGTGCAGGAAGCAGTGGAATGAGGCTTTCTCTCTCACCCTCTCTCCTAACAGGGCAAGGAGGGGTGGCACTTGGGGTCCCGGTTACCGGGACGGTGGCGAAGTCGGGTCCCTGGAAGTCCGCTTCCCGAGTGACTGCCCGCCCGGGGCCGGAGAATCCCGCCCTGCACCCCTTTCCTTCCAGCTTGGTTCGGTTGTCTAACTGTGGGGTCAAGTTAGGCAGCGTTATTGCACACCCAGGCGGGGGAGGAGGACTCTGGCTTGAGGGATGTGAAGACAGTATCTGAGGAAGAAACGCTCATCCTTGGGGAGCGTTCCGGAAGGAAAACTCACTTTTTTTTTTCGTTTCACCACCTCGCCAGCTTAAGTGCGAAGTCAAACGTTAATAAAAGTAAAGATAGCCTTAATTTGTTATTGAGGTTTTGTTTTGTTTGGGGGGGCGCGAAATTATGCTCAGAGACTGAGATTGTATTTGCCAGTTTTTAACACAAGTTCGCTGTGGGATTTATAGTCGTTTCACAAACCAGTAGCATGCAGATTAAGATGTCGCTTAATAAGCCAGTAAAAATAATAGCATAACATAACGTACTCCAGTGATAGATGAATCATGTTATTGTTCCAGGCAAGGGGAGATGACAGAAATAAGTGCGGCTGAGGTGTACCTTTTTATACGGTAGGCGCTCAAGAGAGATGGCTTGGCTAACTGAGAGCTGGCGTCCTGCTGCCGCCTCAAAAGGAAAGTGAAAAGGCCTCTGTTGCTGGAGCCGCTTGCTAGGGGACTGCCGCTCGGATGTTGGCAGCAGAAGATTTTCTCGAGGGCTTTTGCCACTGCTGCTTAGAGTGGCCTTTACCATGGCAGGAGCTCATGCCCCAGGGGTTTCGGAGAGCTGGCAGTCACACATTGCTTCCGCTTACCAACAGGGGTAAGTCCTGAGAAATGGGTTGTTAGGTGATTTTGTTGTGCAAACAGTATAGAGTGCACTTACACAAACTTATATGGTACAGCCTACTACACACGTAGGCTATATGGGACTAATTTTATGTGGCCACCGTTGTATTTGTGGTCCGTGGGTTGATCAACACCTCAATACGTGGCACACGACTATTTAGGTCAGCAAGGAGTCACCTTGCCCCGACGCAAACTGAGTAGTCCTCACAAACATTTATTTATAGTCTAAACGTCCATTTGCCGTAATTCCTTCTCCACATGTTCTTATTGATATTCGGCGCCCCCCACCCCCACCCCCAGTGTTTGTCATCAGCTCAGCTACTGGGTATTATCAGTGACAACAGATGAGATGATATGCTGATACAGCTTACATCACTCGTGTCAAAAACAACTTTGCTTCTAAGAACAACTTTTATTTGTCCTTATCAACAAGTGGATTTGAAGTCATGAAATACAAATTTTTGTAAGATATGGAGATTCGGAGATGTGTTAGAAGTGACAGCTTTGCACAACCTTCCAACAGAGTAAATCCTGAAGCATGTAATTAGTCTCATAAATGCCATAGTAGGTCAGTTTGACAAGCAGGAGGTTAATGCGTACGTTGATGTGCGTCCTTCAACCCCCATTTGAGCTGTAATAGAATCCTGTAGCACTTAAAGACCCATTTATTTCTGGGAACGTTTGTTCTCTGGTGTTCTGAATTGTCAGTACCTGTTTAATTCAGGTTTGTTTTAATTGATGTTGGTTTGGGTCTTGTAGAAATGATTATATTTTGGATGCTCAGGTTGTCATTGCAGCACAAGGAAGGCCTTGTCTCGTGTGTACCTTACTTTGGCGACCGCACGTGTAAGCACTCCTGGGGCAGTGAAACGCTGAAGTCAAACTAATCCTCAGTCTCCTGGAAACCCATGTAGTTCTTCACTGTTTTATGGTAATTCCTTCCCTTTGTGGTAGTTATCTTCCTTATTGTGTGAAAAGTCACAAGTTATTATACTATTTAAATTATTTTCCTATTTACTGCTTCTTAACTATTTCCACCAGAGAACCACTCAGGTCAAAGGAGTGAGAATTGCTGGAGTGGGTGTCCCCTGGGCATGGGACAAAGAATGAGTAAGCAGGACATTTTTTTGAACTGTCATATTTTATCTTAAAAAAATAGGACTTTTTGAAGTTTACTCCATGACGTATCTGTGTATTTTAATGTGAAGGTAATATTCTCTCATCCAAAGAGAAAAAAAAACTTTGAATAAAACTGCTTTCCAAAATCACATGCTTTATGCATTCTTTTGCTTCCAGAATGTCCCTGGTGCCCTGAGTCTTTATCTCAAGGAAGGCTCACCTGCTGTTTGAGAAGAATCAGTACTCTTGTAATTGTGTTTTGAAGTGAATTTTAACTTAACACTATAAAAGGATAATTACTATATTCAGTACATACTACCAGATTGTCACACTTTTATCTGCTTACGTATCTGCCACATTTTAAAGAAGAACCTGTGGCTTGAAAAGTCTCTTGCTCCAATCAGGAATCTTTTACAATATAGTTGATTTTAGAATGAAAACCATAGTGTAAGTGGTTTACTTTTTTTTTGTTTTTTGGGGTTTTTTTTTTTTACTGTTAGAAATTTGTGGAACCAATCTTAGAGCCCAGAAGAGTTTAGAGAGCATCTGGTCCAGATGTTCCTAATCTGGGGGAGTTCATGGATGTCTGGGGGACTTTGAATACCCTGAAATTATATGCAAAATTGGGTATGTACGTTTTTGGAGGAGAGCATTGATAAAATTTCATTACATTTTCAAAAAGATTAGTGCCTCATTAAATTTAAAATACACTAATCCAGTCTGAGGTTATAAATGCTGAAATAGATCCAGAAAAGGAACTCTTTCAAAACCATACAGCTAAGTAACAGACCCAGTGCTGCTACTGCTTTTTGTGTTTCCTTGGGCTCAAACATTCTCTTTAACAAAGAAGAAAAGTGGTTTCTCCTTGTCTAAAGAAAAACACACAATACAAAGTCATATACCTGTTCAACTGGATTCAAACTGAGCCTACTTCCTGCAAAACCTCCTGTTCTGTTTCCAAACACAGGATGTAAAAAGCCATTTAATCTCATTCTTGTGAAAACTGCAGTTGCCAAGAAACAACCAACTGTTCAGAGTTCATTAACACAACAGCACAACAGGATTTTTAGTTTTGCTTTTGAATTATTGAGAAGCTTTTCATGCGTGAGCCATGCATTGATTTATTCATTCATTCAACAAATATTTATTGAGTGCCTGGCTTTGTTTGGTTTGCTAAAGAAAAAACAGCTAGGCTTTTTTGTGTGTGTGTTGGGGGGAGGGTGGTGGTAAGGTGGATATACTGGGCTAAGAGCAGGATACAGTGGAGAGAAAGCAGCCCTGTTAGAAATGTCGTGTGAGTCTACTATTCCTGCTCAATTTCCCTCCTTTCTCAGTGTGACCGGTAGCAAGTCCATTAAATTTTAGGACTACGGAAGTTGCCTGTGCTTGTATTTCCAGCGGATTTGGTCTCCTTTGCACGTAGGGCTAAGGGAGGCAGAGAGGGCAGGCTCCTTCCCCTGGACACTGGCCAAGATTCCGCCCTGATAGAAATTGGCTTCACCTGCTTCATGGGAATAATCCAGGTGAAATGAGAAGTTAGCATTTGATGTTTTTACAGAGCAAAGCGATATTGGGGAAAGCTTCTTTGTCACTGTCATCTATAAAGCACCTGAATGTCCCCCTTTATCTCTGGAGCCTTGCCCCTGGTCTTCTGTGCCCAGTTCCTGCCTTTTTCCTGGGTGGTTTCAACATGCTTCGTTGGCCTCTGCCTCCCTCAGCCTCCTTAGCACTGAAGGCCTTCAGAACAGGCTTCCCCAGGATGTGATACTTTGGCACATAAAATATTTTGAGCTAATGGCAATCAAGACCCTGCAGGCTCAAGAAACTTTTACCTCTCCTTTCAAGAATTTAAATTGGGGCTTTGCCCAAATTAAGAGTTATTACCAGAAGTAAATTTTTATGACCTATTTGTATGGCAGGGCAAACCTCTAATTATTAAACATCTGCTCTTCTTATCATCCTGTGAATTACCCTTCTCGCCTCAGAAGCCTCAGGCCCCTATCCCATTCCTTAGGTCAAGATGGCATATATGCCTCATTTTACCTTTTTGTCTCAACCTCTCATGTATGTGGGGGTCTCTCACCCTTTTGTGTATGTGGGCTTCCTGTATGTATGCAGTTAAATTTGATTTTCTCCTATTAATTTGTCTCAGTTTAATTCTTAGACCAGCCAGAAGAACCTAGGAGGTAAAGGAAAATTCCTTCCTTCCACACAGTTGGAGTGGTCAGCAGGATAAAGTTCTCTGGATGGACTCTGCTGCCTCTGAGGCTGCTGTAGCTGAGAGATCTTGGGACATCTGGCAAGCGCTGGCAGGCTCCTGGATCTCTGCCTGCTGCAGGGTCTTTTGGAAGTAACAGTGGTAATAGTCTTTTTTTTCTCTTTCCTAAATTTACATTAGGAGAAAATATTTGTAAAAGTGGTTTCTTGAACTTAAGCAACTCTGGTAAATTTGGTAGAGTATTCTTGATCCATTTCCTCCCAGAGATGGTCACTGCTTTTCTATTGTGTCATTTGTCCTTAGAAGGAAATTCCATAGGCAAAGTCAGCTCACGGCTTTTGCTGTCTGGAAGGGTTTCCCTGTTTGAACCGGCTCACAGTATGAGGTTTTCTTTCCTCGTTATATGTCCTGAGAGGTTGGCTTTTTGACCAGTGAGAAAATTCTCTCTGGTCTCTGCCAATCCAGAAGGTGCATTTACCAGGGTGCACTGGTAGCCAATCAAATAGATTGGGGTTCTGAGTCTCTTTGTCCAAGTGTGCCAGCTCTCAAGGGAGTTTGTCATAAGAGGTCCTTCTGTCTTAAGACTATCTTTGGGAGTAAACTTCTTGGATCTTGGGAGGGCTTCATCCTTCCCAGTCTCCTTTGGGGACACCTCTTGCATCCATAGTTAAGCCATAAAAAGGCTTATTGGGTTGAGTTGCTATTAAGAACTTACTTGTCAATGGCCAGCTGATGGATCCTTTGCATTGGAAAAATCTTCTAAACTGGAAAAAATTTTTAGAGAGCTCACATGTTGGTATAACGGCTAGCCATTAAGACTCCCTTAATAAGATGAAAAAACAGAAATTAGAACAAAGTCCACTCAGACCTCTTCTTATTTGCCTTCAGACATTTACAGATATTATAAAAATCAGGACATTGAAGTACAATTGTTTAGCACTTAAGAAGAAAAAGAAAAAAACTGTATATATAACAGCTAGACTTAGGGTCTACCTAACAAGATGAAAAAATAAAAATTTAGACCTAAAACAAAATCCAGTGTAAAACCCCCTTCTTAAAATCTGGCCCCATCTGCCTGTTTCCCTTTTCCTCTAAGATTTACAGAGAGCACTCCAGTCTAGTCTCAAGGAGTATGCAGATTATTCATATAAATGCAGAAAGCCAGAAAATGAATTTAGCAGAAGCACCTGGGACAGGCAGTAGTGCTCACTATGCTGGACTCTGTACTCAGGCTCTGCCACCTTCAGCCCTTCCTATGCAAGGTCTTTTGCAGACGTCCTAGATGTCCACCCAAGGAATCTGAGACAACAACAGATCTTTTGAATAATAAAGCTTTTTTTTACCTCCACTTTAGAAGATCCTACCAAATGTAGAAAAGAATTAGAAAGATCAATGGCCACTCTATAGTTCCTAATCAAGAGACAAAAATGCAGTTTTCACATTGCCCCTTCCTTTCCAAATCCAGACCCGCTGGTTATTGACCCTTTCTCTCCCAGGGATAGCTGTTGCCTTCATGCTTGTCTTGTTTTGTGTCCTAAGGGCTTGGCTGGGCTTTCTGTCTGCCTGTGATGTGCAGGCTTTTGGTTCTGTCTTTTGGCTGTCTTTGGGAGTGATTCTGGATCTTGGGAAGGTAGTAACCTTTGAGGATGCCTCTTGAGTCCATAGAGTTGTTTAGTACTGTGATAAATACTTACTATGTCCCCCAGCTGAAAACTGGCAAGATATTTAGAGGGATTTTTTATTGTTAGTAGCCCTATCGTGAAAAACGGCCAAATTGAAAGCTGATATTCAGAGCCTGATAGGATTTTTTTTTAAAGGCCTTCTTCCCAAAGTTAAAATAAAACTATGTACCCAGAAGGAAAGAAGCAAATTAGTGCTGATGTAATTGGGTGGGTAGATCAACCTATGATGTTGTTTGAGTTACAACCCAATTTCTAAGGAATTGAGAGCAGCTGTCCTTATCTTACAAATCCTTGCAAAACTGGAAATGCAGCTGTAGAGGCACTTCAGATTCCCCCCCCGTTTCCTTTCATCAATCCCCCAAACCTCCCCTATTTATTTCAGAAGGCTTGTTACCTCTCTGGGCTGGACCATCCCCAATTCCTAATACTGAAGGAAAAAAAGAAAAAGAAAAAAGAGGCAAACAGCTGTAGAAACACCCTTGCCTCAAATCTAGCATTTGAAATGTCTTCTCCACAAATGTTAGTAGAAAAAAGCGTTAGCCATGTCAACAGATAAACTTAATTTATTCCATATGCCAGAAACACAATTTGAATATAAGTATTCTTCCATAACTAGTGAGCTTTGTATTATTGTAGCTGATTCATGGCAGTAATTTTAGAACGATAGCTATAGGGTCTCTATGTATGTGTATCTATATATATGCATGTTGTAAATATGTGATTTTTTCTACCTCTAAATGGCATTATCAAATTTAATTTATGAGAGCTCTATTCACTTGGCTTAAAAAAAAAACAAGTGCTATATAAATTGAGTATACTCTCAAGAATATTAGAAATTAACCCAAATGAATTTCAAGATCATGTGACCTAGGAAAATATTTGGTATTAAAGCTAATTTAAGTCTATTAGTTTACTTAAAGTAGGTATATCTTTAGAATTATCAGCATTAAATATAAAACTTTTGTTCTACCTAGATTTACTAAAAGTGAAACAAATTCGTGCGATCTCTCTTATAAAATTTGGCAGCAAAAAATTGATGGCTGACTTTGTCTAATGTCTCATGAAGTTCTGGTAGGTAACGTAAACATAATTATTTGGAACAATTAAACCAAATAGATGTAAGTAAAATAAAAAGAGTTTTAAGTGAACTTTTTAAAAATAATTGTGTTATGGTATATGCACTTAAAAATAGCTTCCAAGATCTTTTTAGTAACTTGAAACTTTAGAGTTTTTCTAAGTTAAATCTTGAGAATTCACTGAATGTCTAGATCATTTCCAAATAAGATAAAATACTGAAATGTTAATTGCTAAACAAGTCTAAGTTTACTGACTTTTGATCTGTTATTACAGAGAAACTAAAAGGTAAATTTGGATCTGTTAGTAAACATGTCTTGTGCTTTACTGGGAGATTATACTATGAGGAAGCATATGCTTTTAGAAATTATGAAATCATAAATTTGCTGACCTAAAGAATACTGGTATGGCAAATAGTTCACAGTTGCTAACTTCTTAGTTTTTATTGGAAATTAAAGTTTCTGAGGGTTAAAAATTTCTAATTAATATATAATTAAAACTACTAAAATAATAAGAGAAAGATCTTAGTATAAAAATGTGTGTTTTTAGTTAAAAAAAAAGAAAAAAGTTTACCCTGCGTGATCAAGTTAGCTAAAATTAAATTTTTATTTTAAGAATTTTAAAAATAATATCAATAGTGTATTTATATAAAACTGGAACTTAATTTTCTTTTCATCTCTTAAAAGAACAAAGTATTCTTGGAATATTGGTCTGCTCCTGATAAGAGATTATGAAAGGTTTTTCCTTACCTTTTTGTGTTTTATCAGAACTGTTTTCTGTGCTTTATGTTAAAAGCTGAATCTTTTTTATTAAAAGAGCTAAAGTTTTGCAACTATGTAACCTTTTATATTTGTCTTTGAAATCTTTTTGTCACTTTGGTTAAACAGATAATTAAATATTAAGTTTGATAATCTGTGATCCCATTTAGGTGAGTGTTTTAAAACCTCTTTGATATTTTTGGCGAACTTCCCAAAATCCTAATATATCCTGGTATAAAATGCTGTCTGTCATCAAAATCGAGGCTCACATTAAATAGCAGGAAAGCACCTTAGCTGACTTTCAAGCAAAGGCAGCAACAGTAGAATTCATAAAGGTTATGACATATATGGATGAAGTCTATTCTGCTTCTGCAAAAAAAAAAAAAAAAAAAATGACCCTCATCGCCAGACTTTTGCTATCCTAATGTTCTTGTAACATGGCAACAGTCTGCTCCTGAATCAGAAAAATTAAGATAGGTAAACAATAGCTGTAAATTAAACAAATAGGGCTATGGGAAACCCAAGATGGCTGGTTAGTTCTTCCTGACTCCCTGGCAAACCTCACTTTTCAGGTTTTGCATTCCTTCACCTGTTATAGCAAAAACTATTTTTGTCCCCAGAGGCTTCAGAACTCCTCCCTCTGGGTCCTTTGAGCACCTGCAGCTGGACTTCATTCAACTACCACTTAGTATAAGTTATCAGTATGTTCTTGTTATTGTATGTGTGTTTTCCAAAGGGTTAAACCCGCCCTTCCCCCAAGCCCCCTCCCGCTTGCTGCAAGGCTGATGCCCTCACACTGGCAAAGAAAACTGTTAGAAAATGTGTTTCCCACTTGGGATACACTTCACAATCTCCAGTAATCAAGGCATCCACTTCACTGGGTAAATCTATGAGCCTTAGTGAAAACCTTGTAACTTCTTGGAATTATCACTGTTCTATCACCCTCCATCATCAGACAAAGTTGAGAGGACTAGTGGAAGAGCTGGATTCTAGCTGAACAAGAATTAATTTCACAGGACTGAATGAACTGATAAATATGATTATAATTTTTATGACTTTTTCTCTAAAATATTACTGTTTTTTTTAATCCTTTGTTTTCCAGATATAAGGGAATTATTTTTCCTCCTAAGACAAGTATGACTACAGCAGTTGGTAAGTTATACCTTTGTAAGCAGAATTGAAACACTTTTCTTTTTCTCCTTATCTGGTCCCTCCAGAATTCATAAATTTAGTGAGTATTCTTATTTTCATGGAAAAGTTATCTGCACAAGTTTGATAAGAATCTGTTCTCCTTATAGCAGGACACAACTGGAAACTAGTTATATTATCAAGACTTTGACTGGAATGTCATATTTGAGAGAGAATGTGCTTGGACTCAGATATGACCAGATAGCTTTAAGGAACCAAGATGGACTTTATGAAGCCAATAAAGTGCCTTGAAAATATCAGCCTGGTACCTTCTTAGGTGGTTCCCAGCAGCCTTACAAGATGAGTAAGAAAGGTCACTTCCTTGCAGGTGTAGGAATCTCAGGGTATCTTGGGGACCTCAAGAAGAGAGGAATTCACACAAATCTGTAGGTATTGGGAGGCAAGTCTAATGCCAAGTTCTTGGCTTGGTTTCCTGGCCTTGAGAGATCTTGAAAGTTCAGTCTGGAGATTCCTTGTGCAAGGTTTCAGCAAAGCAGATTTAAAAGAGCCTATATGATCAATTGCTATTCTTGCTGCACTTATGAAAATAGCAAGCCAGATTTCTTGAAACTAGACTTAATTTTACAAACAAATTAGTTTTACTGTGATTGTCTTTGATAAAAATGGGGGTGATTTTAGAGAGAAAAATTATGTTTCAATAGAAACTATAATACACCTTTGTGGATATTAGATTCTAGTGCTGTTCATTGTCTTTTAAGGTTTTATTTACTACCTGTAAACTGGACTGGATCCTGAATTCTTCTAGTTTCCTCCAGTACCTGGCTACAACCCTCCAAATTAACATATCCAGTTTTCTTCCACCTTTTGGCTTGGAATCACAGAGCTAAAACTACCCTTTTTCCTGAAGCCCTGCAAACTGAAGCTGAACAACTTGATATAAATTTCAGAGAAATCATCACAATGGCTTATCTATGGAGAATCTTTATACCTGTTGCTGTATGGGCCATTCAGACAGATCATCAGACATTCAAACTGAAAACTAGGAAAATCTGTTGGATTGCCCCTGCTGGCCCTCACTCTATCTGAAAATGCCTTGAGGCAGACATCTAGAAATATCTTTGACTGACTGCCTTCAGAACTCAGAAACTGGGATTATAGTCTGCTCCAGTCATTAACCATTGTTTTCCTTTTCTTTCCATAGAAATGCCTCTTATTAAAGACCTGATTGCTTGTACCATAGGCCTAATGTTGGGAGCCCACCTGCCTCAATACCTCCTGAAATTGGACACTATTGTTTAGTTGGACTGACCTGTTGTCTAAACTGAGAGTCTGGTTCAATGCGATGGAGCAATCTACCAATCCAACTTCTGGAATGGGAAGCTTCTCATGAAGTTTCAAAGGCAGGACTGAAGAGGTTCAGAACAGGCTTTCCCAGGATGTGCCACTTTGGCATGTAAAATATTTTGACCTAATGGCAATCAAGACCCTGCAGGCTCAAGAAACTTTTACCTCTCCTTTCAAGAATTTAAATTGGGGCTTTGCCCAAATTAAGAGTTATTACCAGAAATAACTTTTTATGACCTATTTGTATGGCAGGGCAAACCTCTAATTACTGAACATCTGCTCTTATCCTCCTGTGAATTACCCTTCTCTCCTCAGAAGCCTCAGGCCCCTATCCCATTCCTTAGGTCAAGATGGCATATATGCCTCATTTTACCTTTTTGTCTCAACCTCTCATGTATGTGGGGTTCCCATGCATATGCAATTAAACTTGACTTTGTCCCATTAATTTGTCTCAATTTAATTCTTAGGCCAGCCAGAAGAACCTAGGCCAGAGGAAAATTTCTTCCTCCCCCACACCACCTTATTATCAATGTTAAACTCCTACATTTCTTCCCACTTACAACTTCATCTCTCACCCATTCATAGCCAAAATTCTGATTTTCTTTTTACAAAAAAAGAGAAGAAAAAAATCCCCATATTAAAGTTTTTACAAAAAGAGAGTCCTTAACTGATAGGTTTTATTTGATGTCTAAGCTGCTGTAGTAGTTAAAAATTGTGTTTAACTTCATATAACTTAAAACAACAGTGACTTAAACAAGACATTTATTTCTTAAGTGAAAGAATTCCAGAGGTTGGCCAATCTAGTGCTGGTGTGAGGAGTCTACAGTCCTCGGGGACCTAGACCTGTTCTCTCTTTCAGATCCTGTATTTGTGTGCGTGACTTCCTCCTTGCTGTCACCTCATAGGTCAACACAGGTGCAGAGTCATTTTGGCTCTAGCCGTCTATCTGTAATGTCAGCACTAGGCCTGGGGAAAGGCTAGAGGACAAAAATACCTCCCTCTAGCTAAGCAAACTCTCTTTGCCCACACAGCTTTCCTCAATCCCCTTATAATAGTTCTATATACATCTTTTAGCCAGACTTTGGCCACCTGGCCACATCTCCCTACAAGGGGGGAGCTGGGAAATGTCTCTTAGTGAGGCCTATTGCTGCCCCTAAATAAAATCAGCATTCTGTTATTAAGGAAGAAAAGGGAACTGGATATGGGGTGGCATCCAGCAATGTGTGCCACAGCTGCTAATCAATAGCATCTCCCTTGAAGATGTGGGGGGATCCACTGGAGTAGAAGCTCCACCGTATCCCCAACACCGTCACCCTGCCTGTAGGTGGTAGGACCTCAGTAAATGGTGGGTGAACAATGGAATTGATATGACTTTGTGATGATAAATTCATCATGATTATTTCTCACCTGACAGGTAAATGGAGAATACATGATGCACTTGAATTGTGGAATAGTTAATGAATAGTGGAATAGTTAGTTATTAACAAGCTGCAGGGAAATGGCCAAACCCTAAGTGTTCCTATTTAGACTCCGAAGTTGTCCTAAATTTTGACACTTCCTGTAGCCTTGCTCACTTTGCTCCCTCTGTGTACATGAGAGCTGGCTAGAAAGGCAGAATGCAGGCTCCAGTCCAAATCTATTGAATCAGAACCTACATTTTAAACAACAGGCCTGCCTAATTCCAATGTGCACTGGAGTTTGGGAAGCACTGCTTCATCGTGCTTTTTAAAAAAATACTACAAGAAACTACAGAACTAAAGAAATACTTCTGTAAATTGTTTTCCAGTACTCGCATTAAGGGGCGTGTGTGTGTGTGTGTGTGTGTGAGAGAGAGAGATACCACTTCTTGTTTTCCAGTACTCGCATTAAGGTGTGTGTGTGTGTGTGTGTGTGTGTGAGAGAGATACCACTTCTTCCCACCAGTTGGTTGGGATAATGATTTCAGCCTGCAGGGAATATTAAAAAACAAAGTCTACTAGGTGATGCTTCCAATAGTTATTCTTTGCAGACAACTGAACTGAGGAGGGAAACGTCAAATTGTGGTATTTGTCTTAAGGTTTTAATTACTAAAAGTAACTCTTACATGGTATTGTAGGGGGTGGGGTGGAGACTTCTGTGTCCTTCACAGTGGCCCAATATATACTCTCCCTGTCCACCCTGGGTTCTAGCTGGCTTCCCCAGACCTGATGGGTGAAAGACTGGCAGCTCAAAACTGGCAGAATAGTTTGCAGGCGTTCCCTCAGGTGATCCCAATGTACTCTTTGCCCCCACCAACCGCTTAACCCCATTGTCGTGGAAGTCAAGCAATTAATTGCCTAGCAGGAATTGCCACTAAATGCAATCACTCTCTCTGACTCAGTTGTGAGTGTTATTTATCAGGTTGAGAGGTTTCAGCCCACAAGCTGGAACTTTTGATGCAGGAATAAAAACTGGATTCTGGGTCTCATTTTATCAAGTCTCTGGATAAATGGCGGGACAGGAGAGTTTTGCACATTTTGGCATAGCTCAACAAAATAATTACTACTGGTACTGGCAAAGGTGAGCTGTTTTTTCCTACTCTGAATGAAAATGAAGGCCCTTTGTGTTCCATTTGTTACGGTTTTTTTGGCAATTTACAAGTGATTGCTTTGAAAATAACTGTTCTTAAACTGTTAAAGCAGAAATCATCCTTACTTGTAACTTCTGGGAAAGAAGAAAGAGTCCTGGGGTTTTGAATAATTCTGCCTTGTCGGTGATTTTGTCATTCCCGTCGTCTCTCCTCTGCTGTTAGGGTGAAGCCCGAGTTCCAGCCCTCCCAAGGTTACCCTTTGGGCCACTGGTCTGAGCACCAGCACAGCTGTTGCTCCCTTCCTGACTACAGCAGTGGCTGCGCAGTGGTTGGAAGTGGACACAGCTGCCTCTCTGTGTGTGCGACCTCTGGACACCCAGCTGAAACTCTGGTCACCCAAGAGGTATTCTTCGCTGAAATGACTACTGTGTGGTTCGTGTGCCCAAATGGAAACATCTTTTCTCCTATTTTCACACCTGCAGATCCTCTCATTCAATTCCCACAGCCGTGGCTTTCGCTATCTTATTACCAGAGAGTAAGAGCGGATGACCTAAGAGTTTGACTTGCAAATGGTTTAAGTCCTCACTGTCTTCCAAAATAGGCTGGTGAAGTCTGTGCCTAAATTCTTGCTACTAAATTTTAGATGATCATCATTCGATAGATTCTATTCTTAAAGACTTAAAATATGACAAGAGGTAGTTTTTTGTTTTGCTATAGCAGTGAGCTTTACCTCACTTTGAAAAGAAGTTTTAATATTTTGATTGTTAAAGTAACCCATTTCGGAAACCACACAAGGTGTATTGGAGTAAGGGAAAGCCTCGCTCACCCCCTCCCTTTCCCCGTTGCCTCCCCACTTAGACGAAAGCCCGTTCAGGTGGATCTCTGTCCTCTAGAGGTTTCCCTCGTCCTCTCCCTAAACCAGTGTGGTTGGGCTTCGTCTGTTTGAGGAGTTGGGAGCGCCTTGGGCAAGGAGGGCCCATGTAGTCCGTGCTGGTTTGCTCCGGGCTTGCTTCTGCTTGCAGGTTGAATCAGGAGAGCTTTCTTTAGAAGTTGCCCATTTGGATGTGCTGTGATTTTAGCTCATCCCTCATCGACTGACATTTTAAATGTTCGTTGCTTTAACAAACTTGCTGTTACCTATCCTCGAGTATTTGAGTAAAATTTTCTGGAAGTGGAAAAGGATATAACATTTACAATTTTAAACAGCAAATTAGTCACCAAAAAGTCTTCTTGAGTTTACGCTTTCTATTGATGTTATGGCTTGCTTCTCTACATTTTTTTGGTGTGATTAGCCAATCTGACAGGTGAGAAAGGCATTTATCTATTACTGAGGGCAAATACCTTTTCAAATATTTATTGGTATCTGTTGTGTGACTTTGTCCTTTGTCTACCTTTTTCCTGTTGTGTTGTATCCCTTTTATTTGACTGTGTAAGATGTTTACATATTAGGGAAATTAGCACTTTGCAGTCAAAACGTTACAGATTTTTCTCCCTGGTTTGTTTCCTGATGTGCACAGTGACACTCTGTGTGATGGCCTTAATATCAGCATTGGATTTGATATCTAAACCCTCAATTTTGAAAACTTGTATTTGCTTGCTAGTTTTTTGCCCAAACTTTTTCAATTTTTCAAGTCTATGTTAGGTGAGCCTCTTACATAAAATATCTTGTCCGATTTCTTGGCTCTTCTTTTTCTTTTTAAACCCAGTCTGGGTTTTCCTCTCTTAGATCTTTGATACTGCATCACTTAAAAAAAATCTTTTGCTATATTACCTGACATTGTAGCATATGTTTTTCTTTCACCCTTTCCTTTTTTTGCTTTTCTGGAAGATAGTCTATTTTCTAGTAGTCACTTCTGTATCTTTAAATAGAGAAGTATTGGTTTGAGTATATTGTCAACTTCAGAAATAAAAGTATCTTTTCTCTCCACTCATGAGAAAACTAAGAAATTAACAGCCTTTTTTCCCTGCCTGCCACCCCTTCCCCCCTTTCTTCTCATTTTTGTTGGCATATTCTGGGTTTTTTTATCCCACTGTCTAGTCAAATTATTACTATAACATGCAGTTTTTCATTCAAGAACTATAAATATATTCTCTTTGCTGCTGTGGTTGCCACACTGGTGCCACCTGTCTGCTGCAGTGGTGGGCCTTCCCGGTTATGAAGCTGTAGGGGAGGAAGATATTTCCTCTTCCCAAATGTGGGTTCGTCTGGCCGGAGAACGAATTAAATTCACATGAGACAGAATAGCAAGAGAAAATTAAACAAAGCTTTATGAGGAACCATGGCCCGGGGCCTTTCTTCCCGAAGGAAGAAAAGGGCACCGAAGAAGTGGGGTGCACATAGTGGTTATATACCCCCAAACAGGGTGTTTCACATGTGATTGAAATGTCCCTTTTACAATAGTCACGAGGCTGCTCTGTCAGCACAGAACTGGATGGAAACAACAGATAGGTCTGCTGTCCCAGTGAGCGCCGCAGGGTGGCAGGTGTGTTGCCTCGGGCTGGGGGGGCTCACAGATGAGCACCGCAATCGCAGTCGGTTCCCAGCCTAAAGAAAGATGCTTAATCTTTAAGGAGATGCCAACGTTGGGAGGGGGAGGGAAGTCAGTTACAGGAGGTTACCAGAGAAGCACAATAAAATGCAGATTTTGTGTCCTTGCCTTTGGTATTGATTAAGAGTTTTTAGAGAGAGAAGGTCATCTCCTTTCTTCTTCCTGGTACAGAGAGGAAGGCACCTTTTACAGATAGAGATTTACCTTACAAATGTAAATGTGTCCTAACAAAGGGCGAGTTCCATTCCTCAGAGCCTCCTTCCCTGTCCCAGTTTATCAAAAGCAATCAGCCTCAAATAATCCTCATGCCAAAGAGATGTATCTTGGGGTGGCCAATTCCAGGTCCCCACAAAGCTGAGCAGCAATATTGGAGATGGTAAGGATCTGCAGTGGGTCTCTTTCCCTTATACTTCCTCCCTTTAGTCTTCCCTAATAAAGTGGGTCCTCCATGAAATGTCATAGTTTTATTGGCTGCTTCCCCCAGTGTGGTATACCCGTGGCCACAGCCCTTAACTCCCCATCAAGGGACTTAGCCCCCTGAGAGCCCTCTCCATTTTGACATTGTGTCTTGCTTAAGGTGAGAGGAAGGGGAGGTCTTAAAAAGGATTCTGAGGTCTTTGGGGCCCATCACCACAACTTTCACAAACTAACTCTAGCAGAGGAAGATTGTCTACAGATGTGCCCTTCTTTAAGGACAGCTGGCAGCATACCCTGCGCAGAATCTCAGACCGGCGCGAATGCTCTGTCTCTAGATAGCTTCTGCTCCTCGCACCCTGGTAAATTTAGGATCTATGTTTACCAGAGCACACATTGGAAAGGAGGACGTGTGAGGTTACTTGGACTCTGTATTATAAAAAAGGCCTCATTTAAGCACAGATTCTGGCTGTCTTAGTCATTTGTAAATAGAAAAAAATCTACCAATGGTGTAATTAAATTTATGGTAACCATTTAGTTTATTTTCCAAACCAAGACCTATTTCAGTGTGAAAGGGAGGCATACTTTCAGATAGATTGGGCAGAATAGGTAGTGGATCTTTGGCTTTCAATATAATCTCGTTCTTTTTAGCAAGGGAGGCTTACTTGAGTTCATTAGTGCTAGGAGCTACCTTGGCCCTTTCTGGGTGGGGTGGTTCCTTGGAACAGCTGTACATCCTTACGAAAGATAGGTTCCCAGCAGGTACCTATTGAGAGAAGTCATAAAAACTTATGCTGCCCCAGTAAAGTCAACAGAGTCTGGATTAACAATACCGAGATTTATTTTGGGACTGCTTTTGGAATTTACTTCTTTCATTATGTAAGAAGAGGATTGATTAGTTTGCTTTTCTGTAGCCTCTACATTTCCGTAAGCTCCTGCTATCCTGGTCTTAGCTGAGTCATGGGGTTGGAGATGTGATTAGACGGCCAAGAGGGGGATGTGCTCATGGAGACTGCAGAGTGTCATCCGGAAGGAAGGGTAGAGCTCCAGGTAGAGAGTTGGGCGTCTAGTACAGGGACTATAGAGTCTGGATGCTAGGGTCCCAGGTGTCGGGTTCCTAGCCCAGGCCCTAAGATGCCAGTTAGTTCCCAGAAGCTTCAGAGGGGCCAGCGGCCTTTGTAGGGCTTGCTCCTCCTTCATGACCCTTCCTCTGTTGACTAAGTTCACCCCTTTCATAATTGTAGTATTATATCATTTAAAGATTCTTCTGATCAAAATTAAAAACAAATTTGATCTAAGGGGAGTTTAGTGTTTTAGAAATTATTTTTGAGAGCTAGATTTTTCCAAGAAAGCATGTTGTTAGTAAACCTTTAAATGAAATTATTTTTTCTTAACATACTGGTTTTCATTGTAGGAAACCACATCTCTGGCTGAAAACCGAGATGAAGACCCAATAGCAGGTAACTTAAACCTGGTGTTGCAGTGGCTGAAAACAAAACTAACCCCATTTATAGGTTCCTCATTCACTCAACTGGTTAAACACTGAGAGAGCCTACTGGAAAATTCCAATGTAGGTTGCCTAAGCCATTCTCTTCAGCAGTTAGTCCAGTTTTTGGAAATTGCTTCTGTGGGAACAGCTTGAGCTCAGCCGACTCTCTGGGTTTTTATGGACTGGGAAATGGGGACATTTCCACGCAATAAGAAGATGATAAGTTGTTTTTAAGATCCATTTCCTCCATAAATTTAGACTTGGGGATTAATTATGCTTTAATTTTTATTTTTAAGGGGAAAAGCATGAGGCGATCGCTGTGGCCTTGGCTTCCTAGCTTCCCTCAGGGTTATTGGTTCCTGGGGGACCTAACAGGCCTCCTCTGTAGTGTCAGGTGGGGCTGCCTGTAGTTCTTGATCTGTTTTGAAAGGAACAAAGTGTATCTGCTCAGAGAAGAACCCTGTTTCTGAATACGTCTTATTTGAGAAAGGGAAGAAAATGTTTGGCTTCTTTTGTTTAAGTTATAGGAAAGAGAAATAGAAGAGAAATGCAGAGAACACCTTTGCCTGTTTCTTATCACATGTCTGTCTTATCACATGTCCATCTGGTCTCTTCCCCCACCCCCATCCCCACCCGTACCAGACAAACCCACCCACTGCCTCTGTGATTTTATCAGAGAAAGGAGCATCTGTCTTTGTAGTCTCGGTGATTAATACAAAGTCTGCATGTTAACAGGTGCTCAGTGCTTAAATGAAATGAAATTGATGTTTAAAAGCAATCTTATTTAAATGCTATGGGACATTCTAGACTTTAGTACTTTGATTGAAATATGAATAAAAGATGCTTGTTCCAGCTCTCAGGGGGATTTCATTCTGGTTAAAGTGTGAGTCTGTTTCCCCTGGTTTCTTAAGTTCTGCAGATAGTCTCTAAAAATAACAGAGGAAGACGTATACTTAGAGTGTGCTTTCTGGATGCTGATTGCCAGGGTTCATATCTCACTCACTCGCTCTGTAATTTCAGATAAATTAATCTTCAGTGAATTGGCATCTGCATCTGTAAAATGGGATGCTAAAACCTACCTTGTAGGAAGTATGAGGACAGTATCTCTAAAGTGCTTTTAAATATTTTAATAGCATCTGGCACATGATAACAAAATAACAAAATATTATTTCAACGTGTAATTGTTACTGCCCAAGGTGGGGTCCCCTGCCCCGGCAAGACAGTTATGAGAGAGAGAGTGCTCATAAGTGTGTGGTCCTGACACCACCAGGAACACGCAGAGTCAGGAGCCGTTCTGCAAACAACTGCCCATAACAGTGAAGGAAAGAACCATGGGGCATGACTTTACGAAAGCAAATTTCGAAAATTTCAGGAAAAACATAGAAACGTTAAATTTTCTGATCACAAGCTCTCAAAGGAAAGATGGTTCAAAAGGGATGGGAAGCTCTAAAGAACAGGATTCAGACAACATAGCCACAAATGACTCTGGTGAAGAAGATACGCAGCTTATGAGACTTATATGATATGTGAGGCCTATTTGATGATCTTGATTCTAAAATGATAAATACAGAAAGACATTGTGTCAGTCAGCTTGGGCTGCCATAGCAAAATACCACTGACTCAGTGGCTTGAACAACAGAAATTTATTTCTTGTAGTTCTGGAGGCTGGAAGTCCAAGATCAAGCTACCAGCTGATTTGGTTTCTCGTGAGGGCTTTCTTCCTGATTTGCTGATGGCCGCCTTCTCATTATATCCTCACAGGATGGGGATAGAGAGCATGCAAGCTCTAGTGTCCTTTTTAATAAGGACACTAATCCCATGGGACTAGGGTCCCACTCTCATGACCTCCTCTAATCCTAATTATCTCCCAAAGGCCCTATCTCCAAATACCATCTCATTGGGTGTTGTTAGACTTTCAACATATGAATTTTGAGAAGACACAAACATTTAGTCCACTACAGGCACACAAATACAGATGAATAGCGTGAACCCATGTGAATATCAGGAAGCAAATTGTGGTCCTGAGTGAGCTAAGGCTTGCAGAAGTTACAAAGGAAAACAGAAAGGGCTTCTGTAGTTATACTCAGTACAAGGAGAGAAAAAAATGGACTACATTTAAAAAGTCAATGACCTTGGAAACCTGGCACCTTGGAATGAAAATCTGTCTGATTCTTTCATGATAACATAACACCACCTCCTCATCACAGGATTCCAGGTTTCAGAGAAGGAAGGCCAGGACCCCTCTGTTTCTGAATTAGTTGCTATAGACAGTGGTTCACTTATCAATCTGACTAAGCAGATAAAGCAGCATGCTTAGTTTTTCAAAGCCCTGTCACAGGGACTGGGTCCTGGCTCACTGTCTGGCACCGTAGCCACCCAGGTGTTCAGGCCAGAAACTCAGGACTCATCCTTGACCCTCCCTTTCTCTTTTACCTCCAATTGAATCCATCTCCAAATACTGTCCATTTATCTCCAAAACGTGTCTCGATTCCGTCCATTTTCTCCAGCTCTTCCACCATCTAAATGCTCATCGAGTCTGGTAACACTACTTCTTTTTTAAGCTTCAATTTCGATTTTCAAGGTTTGGTTTTTTTTTGAGGAAGATTGGCCCTGAGCTAACATCTACCGCCAATCTTCCCCCTTTTGTTGAGGAAGATTGGCCCTGAGCTAACATCTGTGCTCATCTTCCTCTATTTTTTGTGTGACATCTGCCACAGCATGGCTTGATGAACGGTGCATAGGTCCACGCCCAGGATCTGAACCAGCAAACCCCGGACTGCCAAAGTAGAGGGCATGAACTTAACCGCTATGCCACCAGGCCGGCCGCTCTATTTTCAAGTTTTATTGAAAGGAAACACACAATTTAAAAATTTTAACATTAAATGTCTGCAATATTTCCTGCTAATATTTTTTTAAAAACTCTAATTGTAAGCCATTTCTAAACTGTGTCTTGTAAAACTATTTTTTTATATGCATTATTGGCTTCTACAGATCCAAATCTTCATTTGAATATTGAGGAATTAAAGAGTTTATGATGAAAAGTGAAGAACTCTACGACTCTCTCATGAATTGCCACTGGCAGCCTTCAGATACAGTTCACTCTAAAATCCCAGATGAGTCCTCAAAGAAGCAAGATGTTGGTTAAGCTACCCAACTATCATATTAATTGTATCCTGTTTTGTTTCTGTTTTTGCAAAAAAAAAATTCTCCCAGGAATATACTGGATTCTGTATGTAAATACAAATTTCTAGGACTTAAATGTGATTGATGTGATAGAAGGTAATGTAAATAAACTTTGCCAGCACATCCATTTCTGGAAGTGTGTTATATTAACTAAGTGTCAGAAGGGGTCACATAACCATCATGGCAGAACAAGGTGCACTGTAAGACATTTGAAAATAAGTTTAATGTCAGATGGGCCCGACCTGAAGTGATGTGGCCTTAGCTACTCTGATAGGATTTGCTAATGTTAAACTCTCATGGAGAGAAATCCTATCCACAGATAATGCAAGGTTTCTTGTCTGCATCTTGTATAGAAAATGTAGATTAGAACTAGTTGTTTGATCTCCATTTCTTGACCATCAGCGAATCTTGTGAGAGAGCTAGACATAGAATACAGTGGAGACTCACTCGTCTCAACTGAACAGAAAGATTACTAAGCATTACTAAGAAAAAGTTTGCTTGGTCACAACAGCGTATCAGCCTTCTAAGATGGAGAAATTGGGTCCCCATAGAAACCAGTTCAGAAACTTCAATGCATTCTATTGACTGTGCCCTTATAAAAGATGTCCTTTTTTTTTTCTTTCTGTCCTAAAGATGAACAACTGTCGTGTTTATTGCTTTGCCTGGAGGATACTTAAATGAGACCCGTGGGCCTGAGCTGAGTGATTTGAGGCCTGAAGACTTGTTGCTTAGAGTTGATTAGACACTCTTCTGCTCTGAGGGTACTTAAGAGATGCTAATCCTTGTCCCAACTAGGCTGAAAGAGCTGAATCCAACATGGAGAGCCAGGTGGACTGCAGTCTCTGTGAAGGAGCTTGCTCTGCCTCTAGCGTAGGACAGGGCGTCTCTACCTTGGCACTGTGGACACTTTGGGCCAGACACTTCTGTGTTGTGGGAACTGTCTGTGCATTGTTCTGACCTCTACCACTGCATGCCAGTAGCAACAACCAAAATATCTCCAGAAAGTGCCAGATGTCCTATGGGGGTAAAATTGCCTCCGATTGAGAACCACTGGAATAGGGCAATGGCTGTCAAACTTCAGGGTGCATCAGAATTGCCTGGAAGGCTTGTTAAAACACAGAATCAGTAGGTCTGGGACCTGAAGATTTTTAATTCTGAAAGTTCCTAGGTAAGGCAGATGCTGGTGGTGCAGATACCACACTCTGAGAACCCCTGGCATCAGGAAATTCCCAATTGGTACCTAAAACAGAGGGTGAGGTTCTCCTTTCATGTTCCCCACCCCAACACAAAGTATGCAAGTGCTAACTTTCCTGCAGAGCCCTGACCTGTTCAGGTATCCACCCTCCTCCTACAGCTCTTTGTTTTGGGGACCAGCACCATGTCTGGCTCCAGGGAATGGCTCTTGTGTGATCTGAGCCGCATGTAGTGGTCCCATTCCCCTTGCTAGTGAATGGTTTAGATAAAGACATATGATAAAATTCAAATTAACAAGATGAGAGGAGAAGTTTTCCTCACTTTTAAAAGGAGAAACAGAGAAAGCTTCCTTCCCTTTCTCTCACCATTAAATTTAGAGATGTTGCCTGGCACTGTTGCTGCCGTATTGTGACCATTAGGGCAACAGCCTGAAGGCAGTGCTGATCTACTGGGAATGACAGTGAAAGAAGATGGAAAGAACCATGCTAATGGCATTGGGCTGTTGAATTAGCCAACCCTGGAGTCTCTCGACATCTGGACTGTAATGCATGATAGTGTATTTTCTTATTCTTTAATCCATCCTGAATTTTTATTATTTGTAGCAAAAGCATCATAACAGAAGCAACTAGCATGTGCAAAGAGCTTTGTGTCCTTGAATCAAAAAGAGACCAGTCAGTGTGTCTAAAGCTGTGCAATCTAATACAGTAGCCCCCTGCCACATGTGGCTATTGAAATTGAAATTTTAATTAATAAAAATTAAAAATTCATTTCCTCTATTGTGCTGGTCACATTTCAAGTGATCTCAGGTGAGAACAGCAGAGGAGCCACCCCGTGGAACCCAGCTCATTGTGTTGATCCTATTTGACATACGTTCAAAAACATTACACTATTATTTGGCAGTGAAATGAAAAGGGCACAGATACAAATCAGCAGGACAAAAATTTGAATTTATCGAAGTAAATATTTGTTGTTAGAGAAATGACCACAAATCCATGTTTTCTTGCATATTTGTTGTAAAGAAATAATTTATTTCATTACATCAATCTTGTGTAAATAAAAAGGAAAATATGATTTAAAAATACATATCCAAATAAAGCTAGAACAGAGGTCTGTCAGATAATAAATATTTTTGGCTTTGCCGGCCACACTGTCTTTGTCCCAGCTGGTCAACTCTGCCATTGTAGTGCAAAGCAGCCATAGCCTATAGGTAACCAAATGAGCCTGGCTGTGTTCCAATCAAACTTTGTCTACAAGAACAGGTGGCAGACCAGATGTCGCCCTTGGGCTATAGTTTGCCAACCTTATTCTAGAAGAACCCCTTTAAAAAGTTCTAAGTAAAAATTTTGAGCAATAAGAAAGCACTGTCATAGTTTAATTAACAACGTTTGTATTTCTTAGTGATACAAAAAATTATGGGTCTTATAATCAATGATATTTTCAATTCAATAAACTACAGTGTACAGGTGTATATAAATGTGTAAGGAATATGATATCACGTAATCTGGCTTGATGGGAATGAATAGCCAGAAGTTAGCAAGTGAGTGATCATGCTTTAAAGTTTTGGGTGGCATTATAATTGAAACTCAGTTTGGTGGGACAATATGTGACATGACATACAGACCTTGATGAAATCTAATTAAGGTCTGGATTTAGAGTTAGATAAAATAAGAACTCATTGAGGATAAAATGAAAGCATTAGCATAAATTCATATGTTTCAAAGCCTCCTGCTCTGTTTCTGGAATAGCCCGTACCTTCTGATATTCTGCTTATCACTGTTAGTTTTATGAAATGATAAACATTCAGCTTAAGCATGAAGATTGTCTTTACATTCTCCGTTACCAAGTGGGATGAGGGTAGCTTGAAAGGTAGCAAATGCTGGATTGTGGAGCAGAGAAAGCAAGAATGGCCTGATATCTCTGTTACAGAATGATGATTCTTTCAGAATTTACAGATTAGCAATGATGGGGATAAACAGTCTAGTGTGAGCAGAGAGGCTTCCTCTCATGGCAGTGACCGGACAGTGGCAAACAGTATGAAAAGCAATGATTACTGCCAACTGGAACAAATTACAGCTGCTAAAAGGGCCAGGTGCTCTAAATTCTAAAAAAGAGAGAGATTAACAAAACTACAGATGTTTACATAATGTTAGTCTTGTTTATACATATCAAGGGTTGGTGTAGATAGGGAGATGCTGTTCTGGGTGGCAGAGATTTTATCAGTCACTGATTGTTGTGGCCCTACCAAGTCCTTAGACCTGTTCAAGTCCTTCTGTTGAGAGTTAACAGTAAGTGCCCTGACTGACTGTGATAAACCCCCATTAGGTCTATCTTGTGGAGCAGTGTGGGTCGTAAATAGTCAACAGTCGACTTTGTAGTTCTGTTTGTGATTATCTTGTCTGTGGAGATGAGCTCCCCTAGAGCAAGGGCAGGCAATATTTCTGTGCTGCAAATAGAGAGATAAGAAAGCAAGAGGAACATTGTACTCGTCACTGATTGATGACCACTGCTTGGAAAAATGTCTTAATTTGTGGTGCTGCTACTGTTTGCTTTATTGAGAAAGAGAAAACCATTGGGCCAATGAGCTAGAATCCCCAGTGTCTGATGAGGCAACTTTAGGATTGTGTGGACCAATCGTCAATAGACCCTTGCTTCTGATTGAGTAACCTTCATAGAGATGGGGACTGGGAGGATTAGGCTCTTCCTTGTGATGAAAGAGGGAGGAAGTGCTGAGGGCCACCCGCCCTGGGTGGGCCTGTGGTGATGTACAGTGATTGTTGTAGGATGCTCTGAGACATAATGGTATGCTTCAGCTTCCCTTGAGTGAACTGCAACTGGGATTCCAGCAGCAGACCCCACAGGCTATCCGGAGTCCTATAGTTATTGGGATATGAGCTGTCTTAAAAACAAGGAGAGGCAACTAGAGGGAGATGGGATGTGAGGCTGGCGTCATTACTTCTTTTATCCACTGTACCTTTAATAAACAGGCTTCAGCCTCAAGACTCTGAATGTTGTATAGTGGGCACTTGGTTTGTCTGCCCAGCCTGTCTTTTCCGGAGAATGCTTTTCTGAGTCAAATCTTGAGATTCTGGTGAGGCCTTCCGTAGCCTTACTGACCACAGCTGATGACTGGTCTAGCAGTGGGCTTCAACCCAGCCTAAGCTATAGTGTCTGCCTCAGTTGATTTGTAGGAGTGATCTCATGACCTAAGTTGAACTCATCACTTTTTCCCTGGAGTTTTGAAGAAACTCAGTCCTTCTCTGGTGATGAAGCTGGGAGAGATGGGGCCCAGGAGCTGCTGTAGCAATGTTTCCTGCAATGGAATAAAGTTAACTTACGGAGAGAAGCAGATAGTCATGCTAGAGGGAGAGAGTCATGCAATGTTTTATTCTCTAGTTTTTCATTTTCTGCACCCCTGCTCTTTTCATAAATCACAAAGCTTCCAATACAATTCCCTTATTGGTTCAATTTCCCTCCTTGGAACTCAAAATGTCCTAATTTAATCAAGTTCTTGATTTGGCCATCCCATGTGGGCAGGTTAGAAAAACTTGGGTGATGTTCTCCATTTTCATTCCTCTAGTTAACTCCCTCCTAGGCTGCATGTTCTTCTATCTCTACATTTTTCTCAGGGTGAGCTCATCCATTCTCATTCCATTCTACTCTATGTGTTCTGTGCAAGAAGCCCACATTAAGTTTTGCAGCATGGGGCTTATCTTTTGAGCTGCACATTAGGTGTGTCTTACTACTTACTTTATTACTCACCTTGGCTGCCAAATAGGCATTCCCAGTCACCATGTTTGTAATGGATTGTTCTTAGTTTTACCTGTGTTAATAAACGTCACATTCTCTCAAGCAGTGGTAAGTACTTGGGGCTCCCCATGCTCTTTACATGGAGGGATTTGGAACCAGGAGAGGGAAGATGGACAACTTTTTGAA